AGCAAGCAAAAGAAACTTGTTTCTTCAAAAGGTTCGAAGGCACTTGACCCAGGAGGCATGACCACCAACAGACAGCCTCTGGCATTATCATTTTGCTTCCATCAGGCACTTGACCCAGTGCTCGCGCAGAGGGAGTGGAGGTATAGAATCACACATGCAGCCACAGTTGGGCCAATTGGATTACATCATCAAAAGCAGAGTACACACTAACATTAAAAAGGTTCAAAGGGCCTCATCTATGCTCGACCGCCAGGTCCAGAGATACAAATGGGCGTATAGAAGTGTAGAAGTAGAAACAGGCATATTAAAGGGGAGGGATTGGATAGTAATGGAGGTAACAGACGTGCAAAATCCTGGGTTTGTCCACCCCTCAGCATGGAGAAGAGGAGGAGGACAGATTAGAAGAAAGCAAGATAATGAAGACGAGAGAAGGAAAGAGATTCAAGAAACCAAGAGAACATGCGAGAAAAGGGAGGGGGTGGGCAGGGAGGAAAAAAGGGAAGAGAAGGGGAGGAGAGGAGAAAGGAAAGGGAGAAGAGCATGAAATCCGAATTTAGGATACCTAAAACACAGAAAAAGAACATACGACAGAGTAAAGGGAGGGGGAAGGGAGAACAGAGGCGATTTGGAAGGATACACTCATCGAAGCAGACGGGACTGTGTAGAGAGTACGGTGGCGGAGGGATGAGAAACGAAGAGTACAGCTGCGGCACAAACGGAGAGTCTGGAGACTGAGGGCATCGCCGCACCACTCTCGAAATGTGCAAAATGCGAATGAACTTCCTGCTAGAACATGGCCAGATGCACCCGCCACATTTGTCTTTTTCTCATTTCCAGAGTGGTGTGGCGAGGCCCTGAAGGAGGAGAGGAGTCACGAAAAGAAAGAAGGAAACGGGTAAACTGATCAACGACAAACAAAAGACGAAAAACTTAAACGACAAGCCGAGGGCGGAATTTGTGTACGATACGGAGGATCTCGAGACGGAGAGATATGCTCAAAAGCAAACGACAGAAAGTTGAGGAACCCCTTATAGAGGCGGTATGGCTGAATGAGTTGGTGCACACAAGTCACTGTTCGTAAACTGATGATGAGTTCGGGTGCTGATGGAAGCAGATAGATACAATAAGGTTAGGGGGCTACCCCCTTTTTTCATGAAAAGAAAAGGGAGAAGTCTGAGAACCTCTGGACAAGAAGTTGAAGAACACCAGCTCAGCTCTGCAGGCACAGAAAAGAGGAAGGGATCGGGAAAAAATAAAGGAAGAAGTTCCGAAGAATCCAAAAAACATGGACGTGTAGCTGTATACCCTGTAAAGAGGGATAGAAGAGGAAGGAGTGTGGAAAGCGAAACATGGGCTATCTATCTCTCACCTCCAAGGAGCAGAAGACAGCAGCTGAGCTCTGCAAGCATATGGAAAAGAGCCAAGGATTGGGAGCACGACAGAGGGAGGAAATAAATCAACTGTTGTAGGTGTAAGTGTAGGTGTAGGTGCAGGTGTAGGCGCAGGTGTAGGCGCAGGTGTAGGCGCAGGTGTAGGTGTAGGTGTAGGTGTAGGTGCGAGTGCAGGTGTAGAGAACGACAAGGAACAACAGAGGGAGGTGATAGAAGAAAGCAGCTGAGCTCTGCAAACATATGGAAAAGAGCCAAGCATTGGGAGCACGACAGAGGGAGGAAATAAATCAACTGTTGCAGGTGTAGGTGCAGGTGTAGGCGGAGGTGTAGGCACAGGTGTAGGTGTAGGTGTAGGGTGTAGAGGGAGGTGATAGAGAGAGAGGTGTAGGTGTAGATGTAGGTGTACGAGCGGGTGTACGTGTAGGTGTAGGTGCAGGTGGTGTAGGTGTAAGTGTAAGTGTGGGGAAGGATCAGGAACAACGAAGGGAGGTAATAGAGAGAGAGGTGTAGGTGGTGTATGTGTAGGGGTAGGGGTAGATGTCAGTGTAGGTGTAGGTGTAGGTGTAAGTGTAGCTATACGGAAGGGTAAGGAACAACAGAAGGAGGAAATAGATAGGGAGATGCAGGTGTAGGCGTAGGCGTAGGTGTAGGTGAAAGCGTAGGTGTAGGTGTAGGTGTTGAGAACGATAGGGAACAACAGAGGGACGAAACGCGGAAGTACGGAGTGCATTCCACAAGCTTATCTCGGGAACAGATAGATAGAGAGGTGTAGGTGTTGGGGAGGATAAGGAACAACAGAGCAAGGAAACGGTGGAAAGGATCACGAACAACAGATAGAGAGGTGTAGGTTGAGGCGTAGTTGTAGGTGAAGCTGTAGGTGTCGGTGTTGGGAAGATAAGGGATATCTATATCTCACCTGGAGGAAAAGCATTAGCATTGCGAAAAAAACCTTTGTAATCTCCGTCAAGAAGTTTACACTGACTGGAGTGAAAAGGAACTTGCCGTCCACTTTCGACATGTAAACTAAAATCGGCTGCAGCAGGAGCAACGCACGTCAAGAAGGGCGAATTAAATTAAAGAAGCGACCAAACCGGCGAGGGGGGGTGAGAACGGGGTTGTGTGACGACGGGGCGGGGAGGGAGAAAGGGGAAAAATAGGGATCATCCCAAGGACAAAACATCGTCATCAATGGGAGGGCGACCAACAGAGGAAGAGAAGGGGGGGGGGGGGGGGGGGGGAAGGGGGGGGAGGGGAACACTGAATGG